GCTGTCGATGGTGCAGAACATGGATGATCATTGCGTAGGAAGAACCCCATGTGTTGAGTCTGGAGTAGTGCTGAGTGGGGAGGCGGGTCATGAGTCTGGACCTGAGGAGGACTGGCTTAGACTTGGTGCAGAAGCTTGTAACTTCATGCAGGCGCAGCGAGGACCCAAGGCCCCTGCTGTGGCTCCTAAACCACAGACCCCCCAGGTTCTGCAGCTTGCTGGAAAAGGAGGTCAGCTTTTTGCCCGCAGACAGAACAGGATGGATCGGTATGTTGTTGAGCGTTCTCCATCTGTTGCTGCTGCACCTTACTCTCCTGCTCAGACAAGGGAGCCCTCACCCACACCTTCCCTTCCTGCCACATGGAAGTACTCACCTAACATTCGCGCCCCACCTCCGATCAACTACAACCCCCTACTGTCTCCGTCCTGCCCTCCAAAAGCCCAGAGGAAACCTGAGGTAGCAAAGTTAGGGTCAAACAGACCCAAAGGGCACAAAGCAGCCATCAAACCTGTTGACATAATGAGTCACCAGCCATACCAGATTAACTCCTCCCTGTTCAGCTATGGAGGCGGAGTTCCCCAGGATCCTTCCAACGCTAATCAGCAGAGAGATGGTCCTCAAAAGACAGCCCGGGTCTACGAGGTAAAGAGGTTCTCAACACCCCCGCCAACTGCCACAGGATCCACACCAAAAGTTATTGTACCTCGATCAGCCACAACACTTGGAGAACCACTAAGGTTCTCTGACGAGTTTACTTCTCCCACTGCAGGAGCAATGCCCCATGAACCCAACCAGCCTCCACCACAGCCTTTTCAGCCTCAGTGGGCCTCCTCCCCTCTCCCTCCTGCCCCCACTGCTCCTCTTCCTCAGCTCCCAACCTTCTCCTCACCTCCGGTTTCAATCCCACCTCCGCAGGCCAACAGGAGTTTCAAGAGCGCCCCAGATCTAAGTCCTATGAGTCCCAGTAATGCCTCTTACCAGTCACCCAGTGGCTCCCAGCCTCCCAGGGTCCCCAGGCCTCGATTCAGCACTTCTAACTTGGGCTTGCAACCTTGTGTATGGCGTCCTGGATCCACCACACACTAAACAGATCCTCATCTGGACATGAGAAATAAAAACTGTGGGGAAAAAGAGAAATAATTACAAATCTTCTGGAATCACAGTATCTGTTTGCTTTCAATTCACATGTATCACATTTAATTAATTACCCAGTTCACGTTTGACTTTTCTGGTGAAAATAAATTTAACTGTTGCGCTTCCTCGACCAGGTTACAAAACATGTTCATTACATAAAATTATTCTTATATATGAGAATGAACCGTCTTTTGAAAAGGCTTGTTTTCCAGACACCAAAAAATTATTTATTTTTGTCCAGAAATTGGCTGGGTGTTTTTTTTAAGCACTTGGACTTTTAATATACAAAATAGAAATTTTGCATGATAGGTTCCCTTTTTAAAAAAACAAAAAAAACAAAACACTGCTCAACAATAGAAATCAATGACATTTGTTAGAGAAATCTGACGCAAAGTTTTGTAAATAACATGCAGAATGATTTGAGGCTAATGACTTAAAAAGTGTAATAGAGGATGTGAAATGGTGGATATGAATTAAGAGAGGGCGGCAGAAAATGGAAATAGATGTACAGAAAACAGAGATAAGAAATGTTCCAAAAATGCTGATTGGGTGTTTACCTTCACAATCTTCAACATCCAACCTGTTGCTGTCACACAATAGCACATTTACATAAATTCTCCTGATTGACATGAAATATTATAGATAGTTTAAAGTATATAAGTTGGATCCTTGATCTTTGTGTGCTTTGTTGTAGCGGAAAACCTTTTGCTGCACTTGCTTGTTGACATAGAACATGAAATACAGTATATAAGTACAACGTGTTTGTTTAACTGTGATTCTTTTTCACAGAAACATGAGGTTGAATAAAAATAGACATGACTCACCTCAGCTGTCACTCTGTCTCTCCTTTTGTCACCGTGTCGTCAACACCCACCCCTACACTGACCTGCAGTACACCACAGCCAACTTTTAGCCTCTTTAAGGCATTTTATGACTATTTTATAGGCCAATTTAAAATGACTCTTTGCTCATAAGTATAGAACAGCCAGTAAGAAGCAATTTTAATTGTGTCCCAACCTTTACCACATGGAGGCGCTGTAGGATTTCTCATCAAGGTATGTTGCTCTATTACAGTTTAATATTTTCTAACATGGTTTGTTTCAGATTTTACAGTCTCATATCGTCACCAACTCTACAGCTATGGTTATTTTCCTATCTTAGTTTAGCTCTATCTAGACTCACAAGTACTATATTAAAAAAAAGTATGTACACCCCTACAACTCCACATTTGCATTTTTCAATTTTACAATGACAACTTCAAAGCACACTCATAAAATGTTATATAACATGATTTATAATTATAAAATAAATGGTGATTATATAAGAAAACCATACAAAATATGGTTTTTTCTTGCATGAGAAAATAGCTGCAAACAGATTCACAATTGTACAACTATGTCTTTGAAGAGCAGAAGTGGAGCCTTCTGCACAATCAACAAGAATGCAGAAAGTGGTTTCTGAATGTTAATACAACAACAAAGCACCTGTCTTTTAAAGCATTCATTGTTCAGCTCAGACAGAGGTAAAATTCAGCTGCCCAAATGCACCGGAGCCCAGCTCGGGTTGTTAGCTACTAGGGCAGTGCCTGATTGTGACTTGACTATCAAGGTATGTTGTTATTTGCCAAATAACATTTTTTTAAGTCAATGGCTGTTTTAAGAAGCAGTTGAGACCCAAAGAGAAGAACAAAAATATCCAAAATGTGGATTTTACATAATAGGCCACCATTAATACTGAATACTCTTGCAAGACCTGGACAAAAATTAAGTAGACTTTTTTTTAGTTTGTTTTGCCCTTTATGTTTAATTTTTCCCTCCAACATTGACCTACCTCATAAAGCAGCTTAATGTCATCCATCTAATGGCTTTGGAGCTGGGAAACCCAAGCACGTAAAGGGATCTAACCTTTAACCCCTGAGTGTGATCAGTTGACAGTAAGGTGCTAACTTTAGTCCTGTCCAGATCTGATGGTAAGCTTAACTGCTCTGCAACTCAAAGAGAAAACACACATGAAAATGAAATTCTTCGTTATGACATTTTATGGCTTTTTTTTATTTAAAAGTTATTCCAGAATCCTGGAGAATATAAATGATTAAAATGACCCTTCAGCTCTTTATTCTAATCCTTCTGCTAAAAGCTTATTAAACTAATCTAATTCTTTTAGCATAAAATGAAAAAGATCATTGATCTTGTTGGGTCAAGCTTTGGTTCTCACAAACCTAATGGACCCCAGACATGCAGTTAAACACACATACACACACACACACACACACACACACCTACACACACACACACACACACACACACACACACACACACACACACACACACACACACACACACACACACACACACACACACACACACACACTCAAACGACCCATTTCGCCTATTTTTGGAGCTTTTAATCTCAAACAGTTTGGCATGGTGCTAAACTCTTAATTCTGATGGATTTTCAAATGTGATTGGGAGCACAGAGGAAGTGCCGCCTCATATGGCCTCGCACATCCTGTCACTATTTCTAGGTCAACAGGATTGTGTGTTTTGGGTCAGGGGTCAAAGAAGGAAAAATGTCCATTATTAGTGATCATTTTCCCTAATTCATACAGACTGAAAACAACATAATAAATATGAGAAATTATCAAATGTTTCTTTTCATTCAACTCGTTGTGGTTATGTTTATACTCCAGAGAAACAGGAATTAATGTATGAATTGGAATTTGATGGGAAACCTAATACATTTAAAACCAAATTCATTTTACAGAAATTCTATACGTGCAGCAACCATGATTTCTTTTAACACGAATAAAAATGAAATTCATTCCACCCTGAATATATCTACTGAAATGGAGACGTGAAGGCAAAAATCAGGAAGAATTGTAATAAAGCAAATTTTTGATATGAAATAAACTGAGTGAATTAAGAAAAAATGAGAAAGGAGTGAGACAGAAACAAGCATAGAGTGCACCGTCCAAAAGAGAGTGAAAAAATAGGATATGCACAATAAACAAAAGAAAGGGATTTCTGGAGCAAAAAGGCAGTTCAGTTAACAGTTCAGTTTTAGTTTAATCAGATTCCATTTCAACCTGCCTCCCAAAATTAAGACCTCTTCCTGTGTGAATTTGCAAACTGCAATCTGGCAACGTAATGTTGTTGTTGGTGAAATGAATTATTCCTAGTCTAAATATCTACTTTAACTCATGTCTGAGTTTAAAATCAACATGTCACTTGTTGATATCAGCAAAAGTTTTGAATAAAAAGCATTAAAAAGAAAAAAGTTGGGCGTTTTATACCCTTCTCTCAAAAGTCATTTATCTAAAAAATAAGCAACAAAGTGTCAAACATTTATATGTATCAATGCATCTTTTAACACTAACCAGGGAATATCTACATAAAAAAAAGATAAAGAAATAAGATATATTTGCAATAATACAGAACTCTGAGTGACAGCATATTGTTTTATTATTTTGTTAAGTGTAAAAATTGATCCTTTCTCTTTGATTTGAGTGTTGCACAGATTTATATCATAAACTGAAACATTGCATTTGTTGAGTTCAAACTTTTTGAAAATTTCAACCAAACTAAAAACAATTTCCATAATTTCACCTCAAATTATAAATGCTACTTCTTTTGATAATTTTTCTTGCAAATACACTATGTAATTTAAACTTAACTTACCAAATATAACAAATTCTGTGCTAATAAAGCAGTGTTTACAGTCGTCTGGTTTCAACTCTAAACGCAACTAAGAAATAATAATTTGAAGTTCATTTTGAGAAAATTTGAAATGAAAACACCACACCCATCTGTCAATATACCTCATATATATACCCCGCCTGCCCTGAACCCGGCCTGGTGGTCCGTAGCACAGGAAGAACCCGGCTGATTGGGTTTCAGTCTCTGCAGAGCAAAGAGGACGGCAGGCCGTACAATAAGAGATCTGGGAATCTAAACTCCTGTTCTTCTGGGACCTGGATCTTTCTCCTGCGGAGACCCGACGTCTCACAGGTAAGACTCAAGAAACAAGAAGGTGTGTGACAGCAATGACCGCAAAAAAGATGTATTTGTTTCTACATAATGAAAACAGTGCTATCTGCAAAGCAAAAACAAAAGATCTAACAAAGTATTTCCAGTGCAAATAGCTTAGTTCACTTGAAATAAGACAAAACTAACTTACATGTAACTTATCAGCAACAAATAAAACTTGTTTTAAGTAAATAAATCCTTAATATTGATGACAAACCACTAGTTCCTCTAATAAGAAGAAACCTTTCCCACATTATAAGTAAAATAATCTGGCTTTGGAACTAGTACTTTTTCAGTTCAATAATTAAAACTTAAAACTAGTTTCTATGTTTTTCTGATTTGTTACTTGTAAGCTATGTTTGTCTTATTTGAAGTGCACAAGGATATTGGCACTAGAAACAAAAATACTTGGTAAAATTCTGTGTTTTTGCCGTGTGGGTCTAAATTATCAGATAATTTGGCATGTTTTGGGTGCATCTACGTCATCTAGGAAGCAGATTTTAGCATTTCAGTTTTAGAAGAGAAACTAAAAATAAATAGTAGCTGCATTATCATGACTGCTTTAATCTATTTTGAAGTGAAGCTCTGATATTTTAACCAAATGAGACGTTGATTGGGGGCGTTTTTCACCTCGTCTTTCACTGTGAGGAATGCGGCCCTCTGCGGTGGAGTTTTTTAGTCTGCGCAGATGGATGTATCTGGGAATGTGCTGACTGATGCCCTTCCTCCCCAGCTGTCTCCTGCAGATTTATCTGGAGCTAAAACCGGCCGGTTAAGGGGGACAGGAGCGCCTCTTCTCTTTGGAGGTGCTGGTAACTGGACCCACAGGGGCCCTGGCGTTCAGCTCCTGTCGCCAGCGCCGCCGCTGGCTCCTTGTTGGCCTCCGTTTCCCCGCAACATCCTGAAAAAAACACCTGTAATCTCTAGCTTTTAATCAGCCCCCACCGGCTCGCATTAATCACAGGGGAGAAGCTGTCTGAGTGCAAATCCAGGAGTGTTTTTGTGTGCTGTGCAACATGGACTCATAAAAATAGCTCACACAGGACAGAGTACGCAGCTAGGAAATGAGCTTCAATTACAGAGGATGAAAAGCAATTACATTAACTGCCTCCCTGTAGACAGACCCTTCTGCTTCTCCTCGCGCGCTGGGACTCACCCCCAGCTTTGCATAATTGCTTTCGACCTGTTCAACTGACAGCGACAAACCGCTGGAACCGCGTCTGAGCGGTTAGTCAAGAGAGACGCAAAGCCGCCACCTCGAATTAATGTCCTCAGGGAGACGCGTGGGGCTGGACGCCTTGTTTGACGTGAGTTCCCTTGATTAAGGGACCCTGTGGAAATCTGCAGGGAACCAACTGAGGCTCATGTGCAACTTCATTATTAACCTTTACTGGATAAGATTTCTCTCCCTCTTGTTTCTCTTTCTGTGAACTATTAAATGACGCCTTACATCCAGTGGCATCCGCAGACAAATTAGTCGTAGGGGGCAGTAAAAGTTTCAGGGGGACAAAGCTCAAACAAAATTTTATTATTTATTATTAATTAATATATAGGAGATGGTTTTAGATCAATAATTTCCAAATATTGATTAAAAAAATGTATTGATTCCACTGAAATTTTTTCACACTTACATTTTTCCATGTTACAAGTTGCCAGGGGAAGTAGTACTTTTTGTTAATTTGTGCTTGTAAAAGAATTATTGACTTAAAAAAATGTGTATCTATATCTTGATGAAAAGTTACAAAACTAACTTGCAAGTTAGTTTTGTAACTTGCAACTTTTGTGTCTTATTTGCACTAAAAATAAGACAAAAAAAACACTTTTGCATTTTGTATCCATCTATCTATGCATCCCGAGTTTCACTATTTGTAAATACATTTCTGAAACTAAATATCCTTTCACTGATATTCTGAATCAGGGAGAGGCACCTGACATTTTATCCAAAAAAGAAAAACAAAATGTCAAAAACGTTGCTCTGCTTTGTCTTTCAGCTATGCCTCTCTCAAGCTCTGCCCCTTCTAACAAGAGGAAGAAGGCCAGCAAGATCATCACTGACCTTTCCCACATCAGCCAGAATGGTAAAGCCTGCGGTGGTCAAATAAAGCAAACAGTCATGCATTTAAACATGCTGCTTAATCGGGACGCTTTAAAAATCCTCCTTTACCTGCTGTGACTTCATTACACGCTCGACTGAAGAACAAATCTTCTGCATTCGCTTGCCGTCTGCCCTGTCAGCATGTTGCAGAGCGAACTGCGTGGGTGTGAATCATTGTACGAGATTGCATGATGCCATGATTAAACACACACACACACACACTGGGTCGTTATCGGATGGCAAGGCGGCCACAAATCTGTCACCATAACAGACAACACATAACAGTCACTCATGGTGACTTTGCACTCATTTTATTAGTGTGAACATATGTCCAAGTTGCATCCCAATCACAATCAGATTAAGCTGTAAAACTATAGCAAAAACAAGTTAACAGTCGGTCAAACTGAATTTAGCATTCCCCTGCTAATATTAGACCTCTTCCTGTTCTTTGCTTTGTTCAGCTACATTGGCTGTGTTTGGTGGTTTATTCCTGTATTTCGTCCAAAATGACTCAGAAGTTTCCCGTCCTGCAGAAATGGTCCTTCAGAAACAGAATGTCTAATGCAGCTCTTTCTGCCAGACCCACCAGTGGGTCCATCTGTTCAAACTCAAGCTGTGCAGCCTTCAAATGCTTCAAACACAAAGTGCATTATTTCTATTAGGGGAAACACCATGATTTTTTTTTTCTAATTGTACTGGGTAAATCTTTCTGAGGCTTTTTTTTAGAGATATCTATGTTTGTGTCACCTGTAAAAGATGGACTTACGCAGAATTTCAAAGTACTCTGCCTGGTCTATTGCTGATTTTGAGTTTGTTTTTTAAAATTATGTAACCTCAAAACAACTTTGGTTCCTATCCTGCTGCAGGTACTCTATCAGATGCACTAAGGTGTGATTGACAAGTGAATTGGCTGAGGAGTGAAGAGCCGCTCTGCCACCTGGGATCAGCTCCACCCACTAAAGGATAAAAATGTGTTTACTAATGGATAAATGGATGAACTCACTGGGGTTTTTTGTCCTCTACTTATTAAATTAGCAAAGATCTGAGGAAAACTTAGCTTGTAGGACTTACACAACACATAAATCTCTATGTATTTCATGCAAGTCTTCAAAAAGACTTGAAATAATTCAAAACTAACTCAGAAGCAGCTTTTTAGCAAAATAAAGGAGCTTGTTTAACCAACCAGTCTTATTTCAAATGTGCTAAAAAGCCTGTCACGATTGTCCCAGAGCTTATTGCGATAAACATTGTTGTTTTCACGTAATATAATTTCAATAATGACATAAAAATGCAAGAACATGTTCTCAAAGATCAATAAAGTTTCTCTTTTTTTTAAATTAACATTTAAACACTGGAACTGGGAGACATTTGGAAAATCCAAAATAAACATAGAAAACAACAGAAACAAGAAATAAAATAAATTATGAAGTCTCTGTAAACAAAAGTATCTTTCAAAAAAAAGGGATAGTTGAGTCCAAAACTCCAGATTGAAGACTTTTATCAGTCAATTTTTGGCAACAAGAGAGAAAAAGGAGAAAAACAATAAATCAAACAAATGAAAATTATTGAGTGTCTTTTAATTTATCATGAGATTAACTGATTTATTGTTTATTGTGATATATTTGCACTAGAAACTAGACTAAAAATACGTGGTATTTTTTTATTTGTGCAGTGAATGATTCTCTGAGGTAAAGTCTGCAGTCTGAATGGATTGACCGCCTTGCACCCACGGTGACATCTGCCATTCAGCAATCTGTCGAGGTCTCTCCCTGTTTGTCTCATTTTTTCCGGTTCCGGTCCGTCTGCTGTCCCATCTGCAGCTACATCTGTATCTTACCGGTTTGTTTTCAGTCAGCTAATCCTGCTTATCCCTTATTTTGCTCCAGTTAATACCAACACATCTCTCCATCATCCCCTCTGTCTTTTGCATCAAGTAACTCTCTCCCACTGTCTGCTGTCCGTCTGTCCGGTTTCCTCCCAGTCAGCGCGACTGTCTCGTTCTTCTCAATCAACACTTATAAATATCCCCGTGGGAGTCTTGGCTCTTCTCGGCATCCTCAATATTTCTTTTCCATACAAACAAACTTAACACACAACAGCCGGCAGAAGCCTGATTTATGACGCGCCGCTAACAGCTCTCCACGGCTCTGCAATGCCAACTTTCAGCTTTATAGATGAGTCTGCGTGAGAGAGGAAGGCGGGAGGACGGGGGTTTGTGGCTGGACTCCAGGTGTTATGAGCGATATCAGGGTTTACATGGTGGATGAGGAGCGCGCTTTTATGAGGAGTAAAATCCATCACGCCTCTCCATCGCAGAGAGGAGAGGCCTTGCATGTTGTAAGGAAGTCCCTTCACAAACAAACACAAAGCTGCTCTGACATTTGCCCGCTGCACTCTTGTTCTATAATGCCTTGACCTACTGACCCCTGAAACGCCCCGGAGGCAGGAGACCACACAACAGGTTCACACTCCAGGTGAGAGTACAGCCAAGATCAGCCTACCATTAAAAACACATTTAGTTTTGGCTCGTACCCTCACTTCGCACTTAAAGTACCGTAGCTATAATTATAGTTTTAACTTTCGCAAAAGTAAATTTCTGATTACTATTGAACCTGAAAACTGATCAAGACTGCAGAATAAAACAAGTCATGAATTATCTTCAAAATGAAAAATTCATTATTTATATTTTAAAAAACAGCCAAACTAGTTTCCACATAACTGATGGGATTGGATGTGTAACAAAAAAGGAACGTTGTTTACCTTAAAAATTAAACATATAATGACAATTTGACTTTGTTAAAATATCAATATGTGAGTTTCACATAATTGTATCTATCTAATGTTTGCAAAGTGAATATTTGATAAAAGTTAAGGTGAGGTGATTGTATTTATATGGCACCTTTTCAACAACAAGGCAGATCAAATTGCTTTACATGAATTAGAAGGAAACACAAATAAAACAAACCAAATGAAAGACAAAAAGACAAACATGTAGTTCTATAAAAACATGGAACTACATGTAAGTTTCCTCTGTTTAATAAGAATAACTCATACGTACTTTATGAGCTAATGGGGATTTCTTTGGATTCTAGATCTGATAAAATCAGATGTTGGTTCTCCATGTTTCAATCTGTAAAGTAGTAATTTCTAAGTTTGTTATGGATTTGCAATCTAACAGGAGTTTATCTGGGTCTTATAAGCTAAATGTTGATCTAAGGTAAGTAGTAGTTTCTACTCATAGAAACTATTATGAGTTTCTCCGGATCCTAAGTTTGTTCTAATTCCTCAGGATTAAGTGAACCTTTTCAAATGAAAGTCATACAATTCAAGCGTTGATATTTCTCAATATTTCTCTTTTTAAACTTCACATTTCTGTCCAAAATGTTAGAGCAAAAGCATTCTGCAGGGTTCGTCTTTGAAACTTTCTAAGTTTTTAAATTAAAATATAATTCTGAATTAAACAAAAACTTTCAAATCTGCCGATAGATGGCGTACCTTTTACCCAGAGCTCGCTATTTTTCTCATCTTGACAGAGGACGAGCTGGACCCGGACGCTGCTGAATTCGACCTGGGCACCAAGATCAAGACGCCGAAGGACGTGATGCTGGAGGAGCTTTCCCTGATGAAGAACAAGGGCTCCAAGATGTTCAGGATGAGGCAGCAGAGAGTTGAGAGGTTCATCGTGACCAATGAGAACATGGTGGGGCTTCAAACATCGAACGGACCTCCTCTTGTGTTGAGTTCAGGAGCTTCTATCGGCTCTTTCTGTCTTCCAGCAGAACCTCCAGAATCTGCTGATGTCTCCGCCTGTTGTTCCACCAAAACCAGAGAAGCCAAAAGAAGAAAGTAGGTTCAGACTGCAGCAAATTATTATTTTAGATATCCATTAATTAATTGGACAAAAAAGTAACACATTCTGCAGACTCTTTTAACCAAGAAGAGTCTTGATGCTACTTCATAGAATACCAGAAATTTCTTAAAAGGTGGAAATAAATTACTCAATTCAATTTTTTAAATAAGAAAATAAACATTTTATTGCCTAAAATGCAGTAACATTGTATTTCTATTGTGAATTTGAACAGGGTAAAGCTAAAACTACTTCTATGTAAAACATATTTTCAGACAAATGTTTTTTTTTTTATCTTAAATGCAAAATATGTATAGATTTTATAGTTTTGACTTAAATACCACTCTGAATATTTAATTTTTTTCAGCAAATGGCCTATTTCTGATTCTATATGCTCTAGTTTAGGATTAATCAATTGCTAAAATTGTTTCAATAACCGATCCATCTCGATTAATCCAATTCAGTCCTTGTTCAAATATATGAGCTTTTCACTATTAAAATTATTTTTTTACTACATGCAATGTATGTCATTTCTAAACTTTGCAAATCTCAGAGATGGAAGAGGCAGTAGATAGTCTGGAAAAGGCAAAGAGGAGGAAGGAATATGTCCGCACATACATATCGCCCTGGGAAAGAGCCATGACAGACGAGGAGCTGAAAGCCACCATGAAGCCTCGTATGCCAGGACCCATCCACACTCACCCGGACCTGCCGCAGTACAAAAGCTTCAACAGGTACAAACACGATGTAAAATAAACGACCATGTTCAAAAAGGTTGTTGTGCTTTAAAGTTTAAACCGTTTCACACAGAAATTATTCTGCATTGTAACTGTCAGAGGATGTAAAAGCATGCAGAGGTCTCAACGTATGTGGCTTCAAAAATGTGCAAGATCCCAAAAACTGGAGGAGAAAAAAGATTTAAACATCAAATAATGAGACGTATAAACGATTACAGCTCTCAGCGACTGAAACCTCAAAATTTAGTTTTTGAAAATTAAATGAAATAAAACCACAAAAAAGGTGCTTGGTAGAGAAATATGGTCGACACCATCATCTACCCATTTGTTCTCAGAGTGCATTCAAGCATATTAATGGGAGCTTAGTGAAAAAAAAATATAAAAAGGTGCCAAATAACACAGATAACTGCAGCCTGGACTGGATTATGAAGCAAAGTTAATTTAAGAGTTTAGTTCACAAGCAAAGTTGGGAGTAACTAATTACATTTACTTGAATACCTTGTTGGAAAAAATGTACTTTTAGGAAAATGTTTGCTACACCTGCAGTTTTCGTTAAAAATTCATAAGTTTTATATGGAAAGAAATTCATTTTTACAAATTTTTTCCTTTTTCCAGATTTTGCTATTTGTAATTATGTTATTTTCAAGATTTCTTTTCATTTATTTTGGTCCTTAAAATACTAAAAATGTCTACTGAACTTCCTATATTCAGTACTTGAGTCGCCTTTTTACCAAATACCTTTTCACTCTTGCTTGAGGGATTTCTTAGCGGTTACTTTTTACGTTAACCGGGGTAAACACATGTTGTAGAGTAACTCTTGCTTGAAAACAATTTTTGGATAAGCTACCTTCCTCTGTTCACACTTTTGCTGAGTTCAGAACATAAACAGTCCGATCTAAATTGATGTGACTGCTTCTTGTACTAAACCACGTCAGAACCAGAAACAACGCCTTCATCTTTTCTCTCCCTCTCTTCTCAGGACGGCGCTGCCTTTCGGCGGCTTCGAGAAGGCGTCCAAGCTGCTGACCTTCGAGCTCCCGGAGGTCAGCGCTGCCGGTGAGGAGCAGGAGCCTCTCCCGACCCTTCAGGCCGACATCCGCTCAAGACCCTCGTTCAACCGCACGCCCATCGGCTGGGTCTGCAGGGACGGCAGCTCGCACATCCAGCCGGACGCGGAGGTCGTCGACGACGGCGAGACGGACGACCTGTGACCTGTGAAGACACATCAGCATATTTACAGTCCAAGACTTCATCACACACAAAGAAAGCTCTTCTGGGATTCTTGTTCCTGCTGAGGTGCATCTATTAAACACACAACTTTAACTGACTGGAAACAAAAATTGTGAGGCTTTTGTGCCGCTAATGTCAGAACTGGGTGAATAGCAGCAGATTGGCATGCTGCAATATTAAACTAACGTAAATATGCAATAAATGTTCCCCTTTACTGAATGTCTGGTTTCTGTTGACCCCACACTGACTTTAGTTGTGGCAAAATTAATTACAGTATAATGAGTAGAACTGAAATCTCATTGATTTTTCCTCCTCAGTCAGGCGAGATCAGCAGGTCATCAACGCATCTTTGAAACTAAATATTTTATTTGGAGAATCATTTCTGATCTCGACAAAGACATCTGCAGCACTAATTTGTTGTTGAAAGAAAACAGCATGCAAACCACAGATCTATGCTGCTATCCACACCTTTATTAGCAATATAAATTCAGATTTCATTCAGTGGGGAAAAAAACACAAACATATCATTTAAGTCCCTTAAATTTATGAAAACTATTCTCTAAATTGGCCAGAGTACAAAAACTTAATTATAATCCATAGCATCTTATTTTCCAGGGGTGTATACATACATTGTGCCACAAAGGGTTTTTTCTCTAAGCCACTCTTCAAAATGGGAAAGACATGGTAAAATGTTATTCAAGGAAGGCAAATGTGTGTTCACGCCACAAGCAAAGTTTGATTTTTGATCTACTTTCGACTGCAAATATCTTACTTCACACAAAATAAGACAAAATTAACTTGCAAGTAACTTTAAATGAAGATACAAAAACTAGTTTTAAGTCAATAATTCCTTAATACTGATGAAAAAGTTGTAGATATAAGTGAAATAATCCATCAGTGAAACTACTCAGTGCCTATTTTAAGCTCTTTTCAGAATGAGATGTTTTAGAACATCTTGTCACTTAAAATCCAGAGAAACTGCTGCTGGATACGGTCCCACAACTGACACATGAAAATGGCTGTAAACACATGTGCAATGACACAACCTTACATATTTGAAAAGCAGAAGTAGAGCCTCCTGCGCAACCAACCAGGATGCAGCGAGTTGTTTCTAAATGGTAAGTCAACTCAGAAAAGACTTTGTACAGCATGTCCCGCGGTGAATCAAGCGGACTAAACATGCAGTAGCTCTGCTTAGATTGCTAGGTAACTGTGCAGAGCCGTTTGATTGTGATTTTTTTTGAAACTGCACTTTTTCCAGACACCAAAAAACATTCAATTGTTGCCCAAAAATGTCTGGGTGTTTTTTTGTTTTGTTTTTGTTAACACCAAATGGAAGTATAAAAATGTGCAAAATGTGAACTTTGTGTAACAGGTCCCATTTAAGTCTGAATTGTGATTGTGATTGCACATGTTCCTCTCAAGTGCCATTAAATTTAATTTTCTTTTTAATGTTTAAAGGCTTTGAGGACCTCACACTAGAAATAAGGAGGCCACAGGGAGCAATGTCCGACTTGCACCGCAGCAGTATTCTCCGGTCAGCTAATAATGAAGAAAAGAAACGATGTCCTTTAGTGTCTTCCAGGCTCCCTGGTGGTCCGGCAGATTTCCAGCATCGGTCACCTCTCCTGCTGGTGTCAGCACAACGCTCAGCGATTCAGACAGATAATTAAACCAAGACCTCAGGTACAGCTCCCGCTCTAAAGCAAAGAGTTTATGTTTTTTATGATTAAAAACACCTTAATATTCATCCCCATCTAAATAAAATCCATTGTCGTCTATTGCCTTAAGAAGTAGATCAGTGAACAAACAGCATAATGAGGATCAAGCAACACAGCAGTCAGGACAGAAGGGAGAAGTTTGTCTATTGGATTTGATGAGGAAATGAACGGAGTTTCAAATGGACCAATCCTGGAAGCAAAAACAGCAATAAAAACCTCCTGCTCAAACATTCACTCTCCATCAAATCAGATTGAAGCGAAGCCATTTCACCAGGAGGATGAGAAAAATAATCATAATGTGTGATCAAATATGTAGGTTGCACAGCTCAAGTCTCATTTAAGGCCGTGAGACATTTTGGGTTCCTTCTTGCTGGATTTTATTTTATATCTGCCATCTTTACACTTTCATTTCTTCTTCTTTGGTTCTAAATTTTACCTCTTCTGTCACATTTCTATTTCATTTTATTTAAATCCTTATAGTCTCTTAATCAGAACAGTATGTTTCAATAATCTAAATAGCTTTTTCTTTGCGTGAACTTTGTTTATTAACGGAATAACCACATCAATTCTCAGTAACTTGCAAACGTGAGTAAGATTAGTAATCTTACTAATCTTCTATTAGGTCCACTTGTTATGGCTGTGATAAACGTTTTCTCCCACACCTGCAGCGCCGCATCCAGTCTGCGCCACCGTGACCTCTCACCTGCTCTGTGAATAATTTGTGGTGCTATAAGTGGCGCTGGCTCGTCTCCAGGTACAGATATGAAGCAGATGTCTTGTGCGTGTCGCTGCCAGCAGGTTACAGCCGAGCGCGGAGATGAAAACCTGCAGAAGAAGAGAGGACAGGTAAGGCCAAGGGGGCATGACATCATCAGCACAGGAGAGCGCATTTCACACTCTTTGGCAGGCTGTTGTGATATTTAATCAACGCCCTATCTTATGCTTTCTTTCTTCATTTAACATTCAAAATTAGAATCGATCAAGTCCTTAATGATTACTGGTGATTACTAATAGTGGTTACATTACTTTATTTGTTTTGTTTGTAATGCTGCAAAATGTAGAAAACTGACATTGTTATGAATATTTGAATATTCTGTCATTCATTTGCTTTTTCTAGATGAAAAACATCAAGTCTTCTCCTTATACACACTGATAGTTTCACCTTTTATAAGAATCACTGAAGCTTTCATAATAGCCTACAAAAAGAGACCATATCCAGCCTTTCAGCTCTTCTGTACGTGTAACAGGGATGCTCTGGAAAATCACTTTGACAACTGTCATCTTATGCAGCCAAGTTATTTCATATATCGACTTAACAATATATGAAGGCAGAGTGGATTTCTTATTTGCAGGGAATAAACTGAGCTGGAAGTATAAGGATGGATCCTGGAACAAAAGCTGAGGATTCATCAGACAGAGATGTGAGTCAGTTTAATCAGTAAAGTGGAAAAAGCCTTATGTTTTGATATTATTTTGACAAAAATATCAAAAATGTTCAACTTTTTCAGTCATTTGTTAATCTTGTGAAATCTTGTGGAAAAGTTGCAAAGCATTGTGTAACTTTTTGCCATTTTTGTCCCATAAATGTTTTCCAAATGTTTAAGGAAACACACACACGCACGCACGCACACACACACACACACACACACACACAGTTTTCAAATGATCATTTTATTTAGCAATGGAAGAAAATTATCTAAACTAACATGGATAGTTGGTTTGGATACCAACTATCCATGTACGTGAACACATAAGTGCTTCTGCTCCGTTAAATCAGCAGCATTAATTGCAATTCATCACATCAACACATTACTGCATAAACATGGCATTTACCAGGGTGATGTTTATTTTGAGAACAGATGTTGGTGCTCAGCCTGACTCCCCCAAGTCAACCAACTAAAGTCCAAGTTTAAATCCTGCTTGTAAAAGTTAAGTGGAACCACATTGGGGTTAAAATAATACAAGAGCAGAACTTACAACGCTTTCCTTTTCATTTCAATTATGTACATTCTGTTTCTTTATTATGAAATCAGTTGGAAAAAAAGTCAATAAAAAAAATGTAAACCAGAAAATAAAAAATGGCTTATTTAGGAAAAAAAAAATGTCTTGAAATATTCTATGAATCTGAGGTTTTGCTTTTATACGACAGTGTCACAAAAAATCATCAAAAAATAACAATGATATAAAAATAATAATAATAATAATAATGTCATAGTAATATGAGAATCAAGTCATAAAAGAGTAAAGTTGAAATACGTGAAAAAAGTCAGAATTACAAGAATAAAGTAATAATATTACAGTTTTATTCTGGTAGTATTACAACTTTATTCTTATAAAAATGACTTCATTTCAAAATACTGACTTATTCTAGTAGCTCTATGAGTTTATTCCTGTAGTTTTATGAGTTTTTTTTCTTGTTCAATTTTATTTTTCGTAGGACTGCAACTTTATTCTCTTAATTTTATCACTTTATTCTCATAATGTAGTTTTATTTGTTGAGTATGTCTCTAACACTCTGTCATACTTTCAGATTTAATCCTTCGCTGCACATTTTATCTGAAAAATGATTTGTGGTTTTACCTTTTAGATACTTTTTACTTTTAGATTTTTTTTTCATTCATTGGTTGCATTGCAATGGAACAGTTTCACCAAATAAAATTAAATGTTTGAAAAATCGTCTGATATGTGAAATGTACTCAGATTTACTCCTCTCCTCATGTTCCGTACCTTTGACCTTCCTCAGGAAATCAGGTTTTACCTTAGAAACTCTTTATTATATGTTAAATCATCTTGCCATACTGTTATCGTGCCTGTTTTGCCCGGAAGGCGGCGCCGTCGAGCTAAACTAATCCGCAACAATCGCGCTACGTCACTCTGTCAGGCTCAGCCGGTGGGAGTCGATGGCTCGGTATCGCGAGAGCGGCGTAGCGCGACCGCAGCGCTGGATGGCGCTGGTGGTGGACGGAGGAAGGAGGGGGATGGATGCGCCCACGACTCGCCCTCTCTTGCGTCTGATCACACGGTAGGACACGCGATCGGACGAGGGCTGGCGGCGACAGCAGCCGGGGTGAGTCGGAACTGCTCGGCGTGTTCTGCACGGGGCTCAGACGGACCGGACCGGTCTCGGATCCGGACCACTGGGGACAGAGAAGGTGTGTGTGTGTGTGTGTCTTTATGTGCTCCCAGATGTGTGTGATGTGCTCCAGATGTGCGCTCTGAGGCCGGCTGTCATTTTGTCCCTCCATCATCATCATCATCATCATCATCATCATCATCATCAACTTCTTCATCGTCATGATGATATGTCAGCAGCATCAGCATCATCATCATCATCACCAGCAGCAGCAGCATGGTTCAGTTTGTATCTGCTCTCAGTTTCATTATTCTATCAGGTGGTGTGTGTGTGTGTGTGTGTGTGTGTGTGTGTGTGTGTGTGTGTGTGTGTGTGTGTGTGTAGGACCACGTCAGGCTTAAAATCAGTTACAGGTGTTAA